TATATATATATATATATATATATATATATATATATATATATATATATATATATATATGTTGCTAGTTGTGCAGTATTTGTCACGATAGGCTTACTCAAGACACACACGCGCGCGCGCGCGCGAACGTACACACGCGCACATACACACATACATATACACTAGTTTTCTAGTATTAAATTATATAAAAGTATTAAATTATATTAAAGTATATTTACGAATACGCACGTAATTGTCATCGTTGTTGTTGTTGTCATAGTCGTTGTTATTGTTGTTATTGTCGTTGTCAAAACGCGTGCTAGTTTTAGCAAAAAATTGATTTCTCTCTCGCGCCAGAGATTCTAATAGTTCTTTTCCTGTTTTTTTTTTAAACCTTATCGCACCGCACCAAATCGTCTAAGCGTACGTATCGCGTTTCGCTACCACATCTATCGATAATTTTCTCGCGCAAACAAACGGTTGCGTTTATCGTTTGCCCAGTGTAAGTTAATTTTAGTTGTAATTTGTATTTTCGTTCGATTGACATATGTCCTTCTGTTATTTTTCTTACGGCTAGTATTAATACGATTCTTACCATTATTATATTATATTACAATTAATATTTTTATTATTAGTATTAGTACTTTTATTAATATCAACTATTTGTTATACTTTGTATAGAAGTTTTGTAAATAATCGTTGGAATATAAACGAGTACTCGAATGCGTTAAGCGATACCGGCACAAAGGAGGAACAGCGACGTTCACTCACACATAATACCAAAGTTTAATATAGTAAAATCGCGCGTTTTCTCGTTTTATTTTCCTTATTTTTCTCCTTGTTTTTTTCCCTCGTTCTCCTCTCGTGCAGCGCGCGTCTTTGCAAATCGGATTGCGTACGACACGTATTTATTGTTCGAGGTTTCTCTTCTGGTAAAAAAAGTAAGGAAAAAAAAAATACGAACAATACAAGGAAAATTAACCCGCTGCAAATACTTTATTCGAAACACCATTTTTCGTCACTGCCCTCAACGATGTCACGCGTTGAAGGCGTGTAAACAGTTTCCTTTTTGAGAGAACACGTGAAGAAATCTGTTCCACCGCTTATGTATGATACAAGATCATGCTATTCGTTGTAACACTTCAGTATCGAAAGGGGAAAATTTCAAAAAGCGATTTCTGACATACTGTTGCTCATGATATCAATCATTTGTTCGTTGTTAGATAAGACGAAGAAAAGAACGGGGAGAAAAAATGATCTCCAACGAAACAAGAGAAGTGGACGTAACAGAAACGGACGAGATATTGTTTTCAAATGCCACTAAGAATTTTTCATAACAAAACATACGACGAGTATGCAATACGCTTATCGCGATTCGATAATATCGGTCGCAATATATCGAGGAGATATTGAGCTCAGCGTGTCAGATGAACTTAGACCGTGATTAAGCAAGTCGTGACGTTGCGTTGTTATTGTGGTGATCAAGTAAAAATTCAACTACCGTTCTACTGATATCTTTATGTTTCTGCACCATTTATCGGTTGAGAAATAATGACTGTCGCAGCACTGATCGAGTAGGCTCCTTTTTATATATGTATATTTGTATTACTGTATAAAGATATATTCGAAGGCTTGCGGAATGTATTTCCCGGCGAAATGATCATGCGACATGCTACTCCGTTAGGTGGCTACGAAATTGAGAGACTTGACATTGATGATATTAACGCAAAGAGTCGCAAAGGCCTGCGATGAAAGAAATTTCGTTACACGAAAACGATACGCGCAATCTGTTTCGATTGTGATGCTATATATTCGATGAAAGGCCGATCGAATATTTGTAGAAATGATTTAATTCGGCCTGGATAGAGATAATCTAAGATAAGTGAAAGATAAGCCAAAAAATATACTGGGGAATCGACGGAGAAATCGATTTCGAGTCAGAGCGAGTATAAGCACACTCGCATGTTATCAAGAAAAAAAAGAAAGAAATAAAAAAAAGAGAGAAAAGAGTGATCGTTACCGCTATTATCGTAGATTATGTATGACTTGAGTATTTTCGGAAATGTCTTATATTTACTGATAAATATCTGAAGAATTTATATCGCTACTATATTATATTTAATATTTGTACGTATGAAAGGAAAAAGGAGGAAAGAGAGAGAGAGAGAGAGAGAGAGAGAGAGAGAGAGAGAGAACTTTGGGGACTTCCTTACCTTCTACCAATGTATATACGTAAATGAGAATCGCGTTTTATTCGGATGGAGGTCGCAAGATTTCCGTGGAATGCGTTCTTCATCTTAAAGTCTGGAAACTGAGTTTCACTATTCTCTAGTGTGATTTTTATGCTGGCCTTGGAAAAAAAGAAAAATTATATTATAAAGAAATATTCACATTATTTTATATTATTAAAAGAGAAAAAAGTTGAAATGAGAGAAAGAGAAGAAAGAAGAGAAAAGGAAAAAATAAATACTTTAATATGCTATAGATATACAAATATATTTTGTATCTAATATTAATCATACCGATACTTGTACAACCAACTCGTATCTGTTGTCGAGTGCTATTACTCTCCTATACTGAGAATATATATTTCCTACGAATATACGTTTCCTACGACTGGCGTGAGAAAATTAAGCATTTGGATCTCAACAAAATTTTCTGTTTTGTTTTGTAATGTTAAACTTTACTTCGCGCGCGCGATAATCTCGGGAACCAGCGATGTCTACAAAATATTTTAGCGGACTATGTTAGCGAAGTACATTAGCGGACATGTCGTCGCGATGAGAATGATGCTTTCGAAACTACACAAAAAATGCGCTCTTCGACAGAAGCGGTTGGAAAAGTGTGACGGAATTTACTGATGAGTTTATAATATTTATATTTGCCGTATCTCGCGAGGACCCGTGCGCAAATGCATGTACACAAAACACATACAATCATTAATATAACCCAAGCAGCACAAAGCACTGGGCCAATGTTGCATCTATAGCGACCAATGTAGAATTTACAACGATCAACTATTGGTCAACTAATGTGTGCTGCTAGGGAATCCTTTCGATACATTACTTCTTACTGTTCTCATTCGAAACCGCCGAGTTCTTTCCGAGGAGTTCTGCGTTTTCTAGCTTTACAAGAAATTTGAACCAAAACAAAACATAAAAGAGAATATTTAAAAATTTATTAACAATCAGAGAGAACATTTATCACACCATAAACAATTGATGCAAAATGCGGAAACGATTATTTTCTGTTCGATCCAAAGATCATTAAAAACAAGTTGCTTCACGAAACAGAAAGAGACAATAGCTTTTTTTCTTATTTTTCTTGGGAATACATTAATATAATTTCATACATACGAAATATATACGTACATGTGATGACAAATTTGTGTAGAAACCGCGGCCACGCGATTGCATAAATTGTTCTTTTACACATACACAGGAACGTACAGCAATTAGTCGTTAGTAACTCTTGGAAGCATAATTGTAATATATAAGACATAGAAAAATATGTATCAAATAAATGCCAATTAAAAAGAGATTAGAACGATTTCCCGTAAAATTGCATTACGCCAGGGTACTGCGTAGATACGCGAATGTGCATGCTTTATGATAAATTACAATGTCAATATGTAAACAATTGTGAGCCATGTGAAATTCTGATTATCGGTGTAATATATATATATATATATATATATAT